ATTCTTGACAAAATCCTCCTAAGCTTAGTAGAATACAATACCTGTGTCATCATTCTTTGCGACATCGAACTTTTATACAAAAAATGAATGGAATCAAGGTGAAAATAGGTCTCAAGTAAAGGATACTTTTCACTGAAGCATCAATCAACGACGCCCGTCAACTAATTTAAACTCATAGACTTTTAAGAAACCAACTTATTTCTCCTGCTTTTTAAGTAAGATCAAAGCTTAAAATTTGTCTCATTTCTCAAAGATATAGAAATAAAGGGAAGTTATAGTGCTAGGAAGGAGTTTATTACGCGAGAAGGAGCCAGAAATAAATTAGGAAAAATTGAATTCCGAACTAGCTGGGATTCGAACTCACGACTTTGTACTACCGATGCTCTACCTGCTTAGGTACAAAGGTCAGACTGTGAGCAGGTCGTGGTAAAATAGATGTTTTAGCTTGCGTAATTAGAAAGTAAAGATATGAATGTAAGTTCCACATGGTACTATGAGATACATGATATAGAAATAATGGAAATAAAGGAATCCCAGCGAGGCCAGAAATTAATTTTTCCGAATTAATTTCGAAGGGTCTTAAAAATCTTACATTCGTATTATTTCTCAAAGATTTTATGAAGCTAAGAGTTGACAAAGAAAGGATGATTTTGCAGTAGAAGAAAATTCTAAATTTCCCGAACGCTGTATCAACAGCTATTTTCTGTCTTTACCAGGGATTACGCGGAAAAACATTCTGAGAGAATTTTGAGAAAGACGCTTAGAGAATTAACCGGAAGCAAGATATAGTGTCCCAGTGCCTACAATAGGCCGCTAGAGTAGGTCTGTGTACGAGAATGCTTTGTCTAAGATAATGGCGAAGTATACGTTAAAGGCATTTTCTATCTGTTGTTATAGACAACGCTGCCTGTGAACAGTTGCCTTCTCGGTTGYAAAAAAGGAATCACAACACTAGGAATTACTTGCAGTCAGAAGTCTACTTGATCTGAAACTATAAAATACTTTAAAAATTCCACTATAAAATAATTTAAGTTTTCAACCTAACATAGGTTTGGCAACGTCAATAAATTTTAGATTTGTTTTTGATGGTTGCAGCACCATTCTTTTCTGTTTTGAAATGCTACAAGCTGGAAGTGAATTTGCTGTACAACATMTCTCAAGACCAAGGCGTGGTAATTGTCGCTATAACACYATTGAACTCAAAGTTTCAACAAGACCTAAGTTCCAAGACTGATTGCGCGTCGGTTCAACTATCATCAGCACTCTATGCTATATCAAGACTTGACSAAGATTATGTCAACTTACGAGTATCCTTGACATTCAGTCTTAAGTCACCGGACACGCCCGATGATGACTTAGCGGGAACATTGAATAGGTGTCTCCAAGAGTTTCAAAGCCCGCAATTTGTGGACAGTCTTAGAAATTTAAGCTTTCCGATATATGATGCTTYATACAAAAAGTATGTACAGAAAATCATAAGGATAAGTGAACATCAATCTTGTTGTGGGACTATTCCTCCACCATGTTGCCCTGGTAACGCCATTAAAAAGTCCAAAGACATTTGTGGTGAGTATATTTAAACTGGGTTCCTTGCGGTCGCCATTTTARAGTATGAAATCATGCTCATTACTACACGACATGATTTTCGTGATACGGTCGTTCAATTATTAACTCTTGCTACACAAGACATTTTGGGCACAATTTCGTTCAAAAATACGTTGAAACGATCTATACATCGTCTTGAATTTATACTTACTTTAGTATTTCATATTTTCTTCGTAGCTCCGTTATCATTTGAGATGAGTTATTCAAACCAAACACGAGTGACACTCGATAGCAAGTTAACAGCGTCATGTTTCGCATCAACTGAGGCAAACGCGAAAATCGTTTGGCGAAGAAATGGAAACACCATTCAAACCACTGGGACTACTTTAAACCAAACACTTAT